TTTCGACTCCCACTGCTCGTGTCAAGTGTGCACACTGGCCGTGTGCATTTTGGCTCTTTATAGATATCCTTCAGCCCTGTGAATTTGTACGGTTCAATCATTTGATGCTGCTTGTAGGTGGTTGCCGGCGTTTCGTAACTTCCTGCTCATTCAAAACAGCAGCGTGCAGTTGCAGCTCAGCAGAAAGTTGTTTGCGTTTTTGCGCCATTCAAGGTCACGTGCAGCTTGTTATACAATGCGCAATATTGTGAAACCATAGCAAAGCCTCTACACTCTAAAAAATGCCTGCGCGTCTACTTACCCGCAATACACTCAAAGAGCCAATCTTTGCGATACAAAATCAGCTCAGCAAATGATGAGGCGAAACATCCGTTTGGACCTAAAAATGAAGTCTGCTCTGTGGCAATACGCAATACAAAGTGGCATGTTTGTATTGCGTTATGCCACAGCGCACACTTAATTTTGAGGTCTAAACAGATGTTCCGCCTCATCGTTCGCTGAGCTGATTTCGTATATCGCAGAGATTGGCTCTTAAAGTGTTTTGCGGGTAACTAGACACGCAGGCATTTCTTAGAGTGCAGTGCTAAGCAGAAGCTAGAAAAAACCAGGTCGTTTGTGTTTTATCTTAAATCGTCGTGCGGCACGTGAGCGGCATCAGAACGCAAAGAGCACATTGTCTATGCCGGAAGTGTGGATGATTTTGTTTCACCAGACTTTCATCAGATTGTGGCAATTTCTATAGAAAAATTCATAAGAACAAAAACAAAAAGAAAAGTAAAATGCGAGAAATAGCTGACTTCCCAGTGCTGAACGCTTCTCAAAACCAAAAAAAGAAAAAGAAAAAAAGAAAAAAAACTATCCCATCTCTAAAGTGCTTGTGCCAAAACAAGAAAAACAAAAAACAACTACACTTGAATTCAAGGTCACCACGTGACATATTCTGAATATACGCTCCGGTATGTGAAGAGTTTCTTCGGCGAAAGAAAGATCTGCTTTCCATTTTGACTGGTTGGAGAGCGAAACTTTCAAACACTGTGGACATACTTTTTCATTCATTCCCATAACTCTCTTTTTTCACTTTTGTCTTCACCTCTCGCTTGGTCTTTTTCCGCTCTAAAGAAATCCCCCCTTTGACGTGACCCAGCTCCGGCTGCATTAAGCTATTTTTTAATTAAATTTAAGAGAGGAAGCTACAAAAAAGGGGTTTGTGGAATGCTAGCGACAAAGAGGACTTGTAGTTTATTATTGTATTAAGCAAACAAAATTTGCGACAGAGATTGGTGAGCGCTTCATGTTCTTAGGCACTGCAGATATTTTTCGGGGACATCCATTTATCAGTGTACTGATATTTCACGTTAAGTATATGATTCTTTTGAACATCTCCCAATTTATTGTACCTTTCTTTCTTCGGCTAAGTTGGAATCATGTATTTTTACTTGCAAAATACTTGTGAATTCGTTTTTGCAGAATCCACAGCATAAAAGTATTGTCTCAATATTTTAGCCTTGTTTGCTTCCTCTTCCCCTCCTCCTTCCACCACTGACTTACCTTTTACAGGTAGAGGCGCCACTTGTCCGAAGTTTTAGTACAAACACTCCTCATGAACTGAGAATCAGGCGATTGTTTTCGTTTCCTGGATTGAAAGATAAAAGGTACCTAGAAACCTACTGGACCATGTTCGCAAAAAAAAAAAAAAAAAAAACACACATATATATATATATATATATATATATATATATATATATATATATATATATATATATATATATATATATATATATATATATATATATATATATATAAGACGCTTATTTCTTCCTATGACATCCTTGAGGGGCACTTAGAATGATTGAATCACAAGGGACACGACTTGTTTTCAGGAGTGTTTGCAATAGCAAGGAAGGAAATCAGTGGGCGGAGAAGGGCGCTTTGAGCTCAATGAAGGGACACAACACTCTCACAGAAATACAAATAAGTCATCGAAAAAAACTGCAATAAATGTGATGGAATGCAAATACTCTGTATTAGAATGCCGATTCTTTCAAAGATGTATGTAAATTGAAACAAATAAGAAGAAAAAATTATAGTGCATTACTCTAGCTAGAGGGTAGAGCAATTCGTTTTATACGGGCTCATATAGACACAGGAAAAACGCTTGGAAGCAACGGGCACGTCAAAAAATTTTAATATCGTTTTTTTTTTTTTTCAGAAATGTGAGTTTAAACTAGTTTTCAATAGTCGAGTAAATAAATAAGAGGTAGCATAGTGTTAAGCCTGAAAACAAAACAACACAAATTTCTAATAAATTAGATTTTTAGCGCAAACTGAAAATAGCTCAGCGTCCCTTGACCTTTTTGATAAAAACCTTAAACCCATCTTGGGTACTGAATAGGTGCATTTGTAGTGCGTGCCCTTTTTCGTCAACCCTTCAGTTTAAAATAGCATTTGAATCTCTGTTCGCTTTTAGGGGCCAAGATTTCTGGTCCATCGCCTTAATCCCTCGGCCACGACTGCGGGACGAGTAGGGGGCTCTGAGATGTGGTAGTAACTCAAGAGCTGGGGTTTCTGTCATGGATGAAACGTTGCATGTAGCCGCCCAACGTCTATACAGGAGAGGGCACTACGGTCAAATGCGTAATTAATCGCGTTGAACTTTGCATGCATTGGCTCAACGTTGATAGACGAGAGGGTAGTGCGGTCAAATGCTCAAATGCGCATGTAACCACATTCCACACCACACATTCTCTTTCTGACATGGAAAAAAAATCAGCACCATCAGCGCTACCTATGAACAAAATCAGTAGAATCAGCACCACCAGAGCTTCGCCCTATCAGAATCATTCACCACGTGGAGATGCAGTCGATTTTTTGATTGAAGTAAGGTTGGTCGTCAATAGGCACTTTGAGAATTTCTGGTGCTCTATGCACCAACTGAAAATATAAAATATAAAGCTAGCATACGCACACGCATGCGCACACATACACGCATAAACGCACACACGAACTCACACGTACGCACTCACGCCAGCACGCACACAGATACACACACGCACAACTACTTGTGGATTGCTAATGTGAGCTTGGTATTAAAGTACTTAATCAGAGCATAGCCTGTACACGTTCATTACCTCTAAGCTTAAACATATCGAAAGTTCTTTGTGCATACGTTTTTTATCCACATTTTTATGTTCTGTTACTAACGAAGTGAGAACGTTTTATTTACCTGCCCCATTATTACCGCCACGCAAATAAAAAGCACCACCAAATGTGCGAAATGGGAGGCTTCATTTTTGCGTTTTACCGTGGTTTCTTTCCTTCTATGTTTACGTTTCTATGAATCAGTACTAAATTTTTCGTGGGAAAGGATGTTTTTTCACGGGTTTTTGGCGGGTCGTTCTTACAGGCATGTTAGCATGCCTGTAGAAATCTCCGAATATAGATAAATGGAGTACTTCACCGCAGTCACAATAGTTAAAAAAAAAAATATGTGGTAGGTTTTGTGTTTTTTTTTTATTTGGAGTGATTGACTCACTCCTCTAAAGAGGTTATTTTTTCTTCTTAAAGCTGACAAACAGTAACAAATCACTTCTTTATATCCCTTTAAAGTAATGAGACCAGGGACAGTCATATTCGTTAAGGAAATCGATACCAAAAATACTCGGCTTAGAAGAGCGTGATACCATGAGTTTGACGCCTGCTTCGGTAGTATAGTGCTGTTTTTGTTTCCTCTCTTTCTCTGCTCTGCCGCTCACGGAGGTGACGGAGATATTTAAACCAGAAGACACCCACAGGATTCAGCTAGTTTCAGCTTTATTGTAGACCACTCATGCGTTGTGCAATTTTTAGCAAAAAGTGGAATTATCTTTTGTTCCTCATTGTGATTGAAGAGCACTTTACCGTAGTGACAATTCGCGTTTCCAAGCATCTGGTTTCGGGCACAAAATCGGCAGCTCAATGATTTTAGCACGATTCGTTGTGCGATTTTCGTTAGTCAGCGGCGGGTAAGCTCGAGGTCCTAAATGAACGATTGCACATTTCGAGCGAATGAGAAGTGATTAAAGCTGCCACATTCGGTTACGAGTCAGCGAGGCTGGTGGCTCCAAAGAGGGAGACATGAGCAGTACATATAGCCACAAAACACAATAACAGACGGACTCCTTAACCCAGGAGCGGGGGAAAAACGGAACGGACAACAGCAAAGTTCCAAATAGAGTGTTGTGTTCTCCGTCGGTTTTCCCCCACTCGTGGGTTACCATGTCATAATTAAACCAGCTCGCTTGCACTCTTGCTTTAGTTTCAATTAAGATACGCCAGGTGTGGTCTATCATGCTCACGCCTTTTGATTCGTAATTCGTACTTTGCTGCTCTTATCAAAAACGGCTAACCTTTATTGACTTCGGAGGGGTAATAAGTTGATAGGGACTCGGCACGCTTGGCGTTTTTTTTGGTGGCCATTCACTATAATAGGGAGCGCTCAGACACGAGCGCTACGCCACCGTTTGATAGGGCACTTGAAGGGTCATGCTTGAAATCGGGTCAAATAAATGTAACTGTAGAAATTCCAAAATACGCACAAACAATTTAGATATAGCCGCTTTTCAAAACAATATTTCTGGCTCACGGCCCCTATAGTTGAAACAGGTGAGCCAGATCCGTTTCATTTTGCAGTTCATGTTTTACACTACACTGAGATAACAAAACGTTTTCACACTGGATAAACATAGAACATATTTTATTAATATTTATGATGCACTTAAAAAGAGGTGACTTTCCACACATCACCATTTCCAAATGTTCACCTGCTAATGTGTTCCACAATGCCAGAAAAGTATAAGGATAGGTGGCCATTGAGAGAAAACAAAACCACAAAAACACCGATCCTCAAACTAGAAATGAGAGTCAAAAAAATTATTCTTCGCTTTATTTTGTCACATGAAATGTTGTGACCGGAACTGATCTCAATGCAGATGTTGTTCTTAATCGAGTTGTTCTCTTTGCAGCATGGATCCTGGGTCTGTTTGTGTGCAAGGGTGTGTCCTACCTGCAAGGAGTCTCGGTCTGCGCCTCTGTAAACACCCTGGTTGCAATCTCAATAGACAGGTGAGAAAACCGCCCCGCAGCTTTTGCGCGTCATGCATAAATAACAAATGAATAACTCAAAAGATAAAAAAAGTGTAACGCGAGAGGATCTGTCTTTTGTGGAAATTCCTTACAATTGCATTTTAGGCACAAGGACGAAAGAAACCTTTCTCTTTAAAATTTCAAATCGGAGCATAATATTACGTTTGTTTAGTTGTGACTTTTAAATAACATTATGCACTGGGTGATGTGTAGATAAAATAAATCCGCAAGAAAAGGTTTTTGTACCAAGCTGCACTACAGAAATACGATGACCATGAATAGCATTAAAGCATAATCGGATAAGAAAGGAAACTGACTGTAATAAATACCAATACAGCATCTAAGCGTTTTAAATTCGTAATAGTAGCTGTGGTTGAATACTTTCACACGAACGCAGCCTGATGGTACGCGGCTAAACATGCCACAGAACGTCCAAAATACCGTAAAAATTAAGTTGTACATTATATTATGGTGCTGACAGCTTCTACTCTATATGCATTTACGAAGTATGAAATACGTGTAGGTTAACCAAAAAGAAAAAAAAAAAAAAACGAAAGAAGACATCACACATTATTCTCTTTTTTTCTTTTTTTTTTAACCGAATGTCAGACCAATATTATGAGGGACGTTTTTACCTTCACCACTTTCTCAGCCTAATGAAACCGGAGACACGGAAACAAAAACGACGTACACAACATTAACTCGACTCTTCCCAGACGGTGCCGAGTACGCCCTTTTGTGTCACGTCGCCCTCGATCTTTTCACAACTTCAGTGACGTTGAATTCCATCAAAAGCATAATTCGAGGTTTTTTGTTAGCTAATGAAATGTGCTCCAAAAGGGAGGAGCAGAAATATTCCATTGGAATATTTTTCGCTTTACACGAGCTTACTGGCACTATGGGACTCAAGATACTCTACGCAACGACGTTGGCCAAGAAACTCCTTCGTTGCGGTGTAGTTTCAAGGACAAAAGCGAGCGTTTTCATTTAACCTCTCTCTTGCCTGGAATTGCATTTGCTGCGAGATTAAACAGTAATTTGGAATGACACTTCGTTGGCCACAAACGACAGCAAACACGGTGTAAAGATCAGTTCGAAACGAGAGCCACTTCGCGCTGCCATACCACCAAACGGCGAAACCGCAAGCCAAACCTGCTCGCCGAAGGTCGTCGGAACGCTCGGAATCGGTCGGATCCTCAAGCCTGTATACGACCGCAGCACCGCCGCGTAAATCTTTGACATTTCTACGCTCGCCACTCGTCGGTGCCTAATCCCACTACCCCTTTCTAGTATGGGCCGCCTTTTCCACCACTTGGTGGAGGGTATGTCGACGGGTCATTTCTTGTTTCAGTACCTTATAAACGGCATTTGTTTCTTTTCTAATCCGAAATATTGAAGAAGAAAAAAACTACTTTCATAAATAATTGAAACGGTTCGCGCCACTTATATTTTGTATTTTGACTAAACAGAAGCTTTTAGCGACTCTGACGAGTAGTAAGGCCCGGACAAAATACTTCACATATCGCGCGCTTTCGGCACGGCGGGTCGCCCTCGTTGGTGGAGGTCTTCACAACGTCCGGTTAAAATATGACGAAATGATATTTAATTACTCTCTCCGTGCCCGCTGGCTTGCCCGAACTCCAAAAGATGTGGAAACCGCAAAAGAAGTTAAACGCTTAAATATGATTGCAGGGCCCCTTCAAGCGATATATTTTTCTAAAAACACGTGTTTTGTTATATATATATATATATATATATATATTTGTTTTTGCAAAATTTAATCTGTATAATAGAAACCTAATTTTAATAGGGCTTAATTTAATTAATATTTATTCTTTTAAACCTGCCATTTAAAAACAATGGCTCTTATAAAATTTGTTATATAAAATAAGATTTCGAAATAGCCCTTTGCGTAAAAGAAACAAAAACAACGTTCCACTTGCCGTTCCTTAAAACAAATTAACAGCTCACCATTAAATATTTCTCGCTAATGATATACCAGTGCCGTTTTTGGGTTCTTGTGTTTTCACATGAAACGAACGATTGCCATTTAAGCCGCTTTTTGGAGCACAGTTTTGCACAAGACTAGTGAATCAGAGATTATTTGTTATTCAGGTCAGTACCTTCGTATGTAGCTAAGACACGGAGATGTGTGTTCATATCGCTATATGAAAAATATTTTGGAAAAAAATCCTAGAAAATATTACTTTGTTGCAATTTGGTGGAGACGTCAGGTTATTCACGCCGGCCGGCATGTTTTATACGTTACCATTCAATTTGAAAATCACAGCTTATAGGTTTTTCGATTACGAACTGTTGTGCATGGTACCTTGGCGTCGTTATTCTTAGCTCCCCATACTGAACACCCAGCTAATCAAGCCTTCATTTTATGAATCAGAAAAAGGTAAATAAAAGAATTCACTAATTAAATCTCTAAAAATTTGAAGTTCGAGGCGCAAAAAAATGAGCTCGAAAATTGAATAGCCTGCAGTGTCTGCACAGAAAAATAATGCCGGTCAGTGGGCGTATTTAAAAACCCAACGTCCGATTGTCAACTTATGCGCGTTGGTTTACTGTAGTTAATATTTTCATTTACTTTTCTGCGAATATGTCGCTCACTGCAAAGTTCCATCCATTAAAAAACGGAATATTTGTTCTTTTTTTTTTTTTACCGTCAATTCTGTCTGCAGAATTATTGAGGTCACAATTGCATCACTAAGAAGAGCAGCATGCTGCTTAAAAGTCGCAGTTTTCCCATTCAGGCTATACGTTATTCAGTTCAATAATTTATTGATAATCTGGATAAGAGTGACTCCGGAGAAAGGAGTGGCAGAGAACATATAGGGGAAGAACTAGAGTTATATTTTAACAACTCAGAATACCAGGGCGGCTTCAGCAGAACTTGTACGACACGCCTCCTTGCTATATCGGACAATTCCGTATTGGAAGCATACAGAACACATCATGTCGCACCTTGTAAGTAATAAATTTATTTGCACTAAATTTTTTGCTAATAATAACTAAAAAGTTTTTAATTGAAACGAATTTTATAATTGCTTGAGTACCTTTCCCACGTATGGATCACACAGGTTATGATGCACTTTTTGGATAAATAAAGTTACTAGTGACTGTTACAGTTTTTGCTTCTCCTTCATTTAGCGACCGCTCACCTTTGAGTATGTCACTGAACTAATCGTAAGTCTACCGCTGATGAAATTAGAACCCTATTAATTCTAGGCCAAGGAATTGTATGTGCGTCAGTAGGCTGCTAGTCAACGCAGTTGGTGACCAAGAAAGGACACTTTGGGTTGTACGTGCTTCAAGCAATGGAACACGAGCGCTGCGTTACATTTTGGCTGGGCACTAAATTTTTCTACCACGAGGTCGGATTTAAGAATTGTGGCCATTGCACGTCTCAGATTATCTAGAATTTTACGTAAGATGACGCTACCTGCCAAAATTCAACTTTGTTGCCCGATTAGTATACATAAAACAAAGCGATGTTCACATAAGCACTTAGCGCAGTCAAAAACAATATCAAAACAAACAGCCGAATAACCACTCTTAATAAAACAGATCAGGCTGTAGTGCGCAAAATTTAAGAAACTTCTAAGTCGAAAAACCTAAAAGTTTAAAGTTTGAACTTCTCGCTAGACTTGAAAGCTTGAAGTTTGAAGTTCAAGTTCGACTTGAAAGTTTCCTCATTTTTCCCCATCATAGTTTTAGTGCTACTTTGATTATCACGAACTCGCCCGCACACTCGTTAATATTCAACCAAACAAGGCAATGCCATCCAGGAGACTCTTTGCGCCGGTCGAACGAAGTTGCTTCCATCTTCCAGCGGTGGCCGCTTCAGATGAGGTTTTTCGTGTTTTTTTTCCCCTTACAAACAATATTTGCAATGGCGGAGAGAAGTGGACTGGTGTCCTTGGTGTCCCTAATCTTTGTTGAGGTACTAAAGGGAGATTAAAAAGAAGCAAATTTGTTTTTAAATTTCGATATTTTTTTATATATTATATAGCCAAATAAAAAAAAATATATATATATATAGTATCAATGGCCATCACATCACGCGCGAAATGGTGCAAGATATTGTGTAAAAAAAGCTGGAATTACGCTAGACTCTAGAAAACAGCACAGCTCCCCGAATTCAGCATCCTATACAAAAGTTTTTTTTTTTTTTCTACGAACCGGTAATAGGATTTGCGAATGACAAGTTCTATCATATCCTGAACTCAGACGAAGGCGCATGTTGGCTCGCTCCAATGTTTATAATTTTGTCTAGGTTTTGATTCTACGCGGACTTGCATACAAAAATGGGAATAGAAAACAGACGCCTTCGCGGATTGTGCTTGCGGTTCCTTGGTCGAAGAGGCACCTATGATATTAAGAAATTGCAGAAACGGTAATATCGGATCTATTTTGTTTTCTTGTGTTTTGAATCTTTGTAAATGCTCGACGTTGACGCAACAGCTGCGAGGCTTGGCTGTGGGTTTGGCATGCTACAGTGGAAATACATTTGTGCGGATGAATATATATATATATCACATAATAAAGACTGCCGCTGCGTTTCAAAGCGTTCCAAAGACATCTTCTGCCCGCGCAGTTATAAACTTGCGGGACGCGCAAACATTTATATTCTATAGCATTTTCTATGCAAAGATGCTCAAATTTTGTGAGTCGGTTCCTTTTTTTCATTTTTTTTTTATAATGCAAGGTGTTAGAAAAAGGCGGTCGATAGGTAAACCACTTGCATAGAATCTGTACAGTGCTGCTGACGTGTCGTTCCCTTTTTTATTCTTCGGCCTCGAATTTCCATGATGTTGAAAGCTTACCACACCGCCCGCCTTTATCTTTTACGCTTTTTGCACCAAGCGTTTCTTTACGCTATTTTGTTATTCAGAAAAAAAGAGAAGATATAGACACTATTATGAAATAGGTCACTTAATGCAGATATGAGCCGTCAATATGGTGTTTTCAATGTGTGTCGTCATATGGAAGGCAACAAAAATGTGTGCTCCCCGTGTGATATCACAGAGGGCACGTTAGTAGCGATGAATTTAGAGTGCACCAAAGTAAGGGGAGTGTTAAGAACACGGACAGTGTGCTCACAGGTGTGGGTATTGTTGACGCTTTACATACATAATTACAGTGACGCCGCCTACCGCGGCGGCTCACAAATCCATTTACCTTGTAATATCACGGAAGTGAGCTCACGGTGGTATGCAGAAAAAAAAGAAAAAAACTCCCGCTGCGGCTTAATCAGCATTTTCTGAAGCTCAACGAGTAAATGCCGTTTATCACCGAACATGTTTGTATGTTTTTTTTGTTTTTTTTTTATCTGCTTAGCGAAAAAATTTAAGCTCTGAGAACGCGCCGACTATGTCCGGGCATTGAAGTTTTTATCAATAGTAAGTGCTACTTAAGGGGCCCCTCTAAACCCTAGCATCGGTATTTTAAAGCATGAAATGGTTTTTAACACTACCCCCAGTACCAAAATTTTTTTCGTCCGTCCGTCTGTGTATTTCCCCAGAAATGTAGCGGGGAAATTGATGTCGCGTGACCTGAAGCCACGGGACGTACAGACCAAGCCAATTTCCCCGCTAAATATAGCGGAAAAATTTACATCACATGACCTATACACCAATTCAGTCTCCCCGCTAAATCTGGGGGAAAGTGGCGTTACGTGACCTATTCTTGGTTAAATTAACGGCACGTGACGTATAAGTCAACTAAGTTTCCCCGCCAAATTCAAGCGGATTAATAAACGTTTTATGGCCAAAACGGCAGCTCAGTTTTCCTTCTAACTTCAGCGGAAAGTTGACGTCTATACAACGATTAAGTTTCCCCTCTAAAGTTAGCGAGAAAATATAGGTCACGTGACCTATACAACCATTCCGTTTCCTCGAAACATTTGGCGGGGAAATATACCTCAAGTGACACACAGATTTTCGGACCAATTCCCTATAATACATTTCATGCATTATACCTTATTTAAAATGACCGCAAATAATCCCTGGAGATTTTAATTGATGGTTAAGCTTGGTAAGGGGCTTATTTTCAGGGATAACATTAAAAAAAAAAAAGCGTAGTGGAAGCTCCCACCCAAATCAATGACGTAGATAGTATAAAGATGCAGTTCTTGCTAAAGCTCTTTTATACGGAAACGTAACAACGTCCTTTGAAGAATGCTGCCTGCAATCTTGAAGCGATCGGGCGGCGCTACCGTCAACGCGCAAGCACAAAGAAAAAATAAATCAAGGTGAAAAAGTTTGCATGGGGGATGAGAAGAAAGCAGAGCACGAGAAGCCATGTCGCCAATCAAGTAGCAACGACTGCGCAACATCACGCCTTCCATCGCCTTTCTTTTGGCATAATCTCTGCGGCTCATCCAATTTAACGCAGAAGGTATGCACCGTGACAGTATAGGCCTTTAGCCCATGTGTAAGTGTTTGCGTGTCTTTTAGCCTTTGACTGTGCTAGAACTCGAGTTTAAATCGAGTATAGGAAGGCCACCTGCTATCTTAGATTGGAACAGATTGCACTACCGTTGCTGCCCGAGTGCGAAAGAGCAAAAAACGAAGATGAAAGGTGCGCGCGCCAGTGGAGAAGGGAGGAGATGCCGCTGGGCTTTTCTTATTCAAGGTCCTTTACTTGCCTTTTTGAATGACTTTAATCGGATGTCTCATTTGACTTTCTCTCTCTTCATTTCATTGATCACAGCAATCATGGGCGCTCGCGTCTGCTAACCGACCAATTGGAAGCCTATTTTGCTGTGCACTCGCCGCGTGTACTTTCTCTGCAAACGGCCGGTCACTTTTCATTTCCATTCATTTTAGTGGTATTCTGTTTAGTGGGCCTGGAATGTCTTTTAAACAGGTAAAAAGGACAAAAACCTGTCGCACACTCTGGTAGGCGAAGCGAGGGAAAACCCAAACTTTTCAGTCGCAATAATACTCATCCCAATTGTCGCCGCTTTTCTTATGGTGCCGCCATGTTGAGAGTCAGATGAAAGAACAAGGCGACGACTGATGCCTTGCAACCAACACTTCCGGTCTCCGAGTTATAAATTTAAGTTAGCGGTGCAGGGTGTTTTCGATTATCTTAACAATAAATATATTTTATCAATATTATTATTAATGATTGCTTGAGACCCGAAAGTTACAACATTTCCCAGGTCCTGAAAAATGCCTTCGCCTCGTGCGTTATAAATAAAACAAACAGCCAGGAGGAACCCGTATGAGTTCCCTGAACATTGTTCGTATCTAATCGGTGAAGGGCATGTCCTGCCCAAAGTTGCCCGTCTTGGCCACCAGTCGAGCCGACAGGAGGCGACCCAGGCACTTCCTGTTTTCTGGCAAGTGTCTATAGCAGTGATATAACGAATTCTATGTTCAAATCGATGACAGCGATACCACATTATATTTCCGCAACTCTAAGCTCATGGCCGTTTGTAGGAATCGGGGCTAGGCGACGAAACTCTCTTCACACGCAATTGGATCTTGTCGGCTCTTTTTCTTTCGTATTGCTGCGGTAGCACGACCAGAAACGCAATACCAAAGGTGTTGAGTGAAGTCTGCTAGTTCATTTCAAGGGTCATCTGGGCGAACACACCTCACACTTTCAGAGTTTATTGTGCACCTTTTTATGTACTTGATGTCACTCTCATTAGGTACAGTATCTCAGACCCAACGTCTGCATACAATTGACCAAACCTTGAGTGCTTTCCGGCTCAACAATAACTTATCACCGAACTATTTCGGCGGTTTTAGATGTAAGAATAAAACAGTTGTTTTCACGGGAGAAAATAGCAGTGAAAGTGCCTACACTGAACGATTCTGTGTGGGCTCTAAGAACTGGAGAAATTATGTATCTAGAAGGACCCATGCTAACTGGCGTATGGTAAGAAATTAAAGATTCTCCGTATTCGATAATTTTCCCCATTCGCGACTCCAGCAAAACGGACGGAACATAGTGGAAAAACATTAAACTTGCCGGAACAACATTTTTCACGAGTCCTGCTTCTCTCTTGTGCTTCCGCGATTGCCTGCTGGCGGCGGTTGGCGCGCTTCCCACCAAAGTAAGCTATAAAGCGAGAAATGTTTCCTTGGCTCAGTCCAACGCAACAGAAAACGGCAGCAACGACCGGGCCACGGGAAAACTATAACTCATAAGAGCCTAACCAACTAGGAGCGCCTCGCATTGCTTGTCATGCTGTGTAGCGCTAACAACTGTCCCAGTAACTCTGCTGTTACAGTCGTATCAGAGTGCTCCATATGTTGCTCTGAACGCAACCTACATAACCGCGTAAACCAGACATAGGGTGTTTATCGGTGCAATAGAAGGACAGTAGGCGGTCCTTTCATCGCTTTCCAAAGAAGGTTAAGACCCTGGAAGCGACCTTACGATAATACACCGCCGCAGGATTTTAGACTATATTAAACAAAAATAGGGCAAACATTTTGGAACCGACCCTATACGGGTCGCTGGAATAGCGCATTACAAACATCTGTGACATCAGTCCTTCACGGTGATGTAATAATACATGCCTTCTTTCTTTGAGGTTCTTGAAGATGACATAGCCTCGTTTATAGCTGGAATGGCCGTCAAGTAATAACTCATCCCCCTAATATAGAAAAGAGGAGTGAACTGTAGACTCATCATTATTAGTAGAACGCACAACAGCGGCCATTTTCCGAACCCCATTGGGAAACAAATTTGGTGATGAAAGACCTGTTGCAGAGAATGATCGCTCTCGGCGCTGATATCAAAGAATCTCAACATTATCACCTGCAGTTTCCTCATGCCCTTTATTTTACGGTTTCCCAAGAATCTCATGTTATCCTGGCAAATGGTAAGGGTTCCTCCGGATACACGTCTTAATTTGTACAAATCCAAGGCCCTATTACGTATTTGTTGCCTCGCAAAGAAAAGAAAGAGAGCACCGTGCGCGTGGGTTCTGAAAATGGCACCGGCTAAAAGCTTGATATCAGAAGTTCTGAAATTTTCTAGGTGACCGTGGCCATCTTGAATGGGTGGCTCAAGGGATCAAGGTTTGCGGGGAAATACTGTTTGTTCTCACCGCGACGCGGCAATGTGCTCGCGTTTTAATCGCGGTTGTCACTTATTTTTGTCTTGGATCTTCTATCTTGTTTGCTTGTTCTAGGAGGTAATGGCTTGTTTTTTGTCTGAATTTTTTATATCATTTGTCTTAAGATTCTTCGCTTTGCGCTTGATTTATTATGGCTGATGCCAGGTGTTTCTGTGGCACGTAGGTCTCAAAAGATAAAGCGGCAGCTGGGGGATTGCACTCCTTGATTGTATTTGATTTCGATGGCTGCAACATTTTACCTTAACAATAGCTGCTTCTACGCTGTCTAGGGCTCGATCTACGATACGGTGGCGTAGCTTTTTTTACTGTGTTCGCACCCCTCTTTCTCCCATATATTTTATTTTTCTTCCTTACCCAAAATGACCTTGCTGTTGCAGTTGGTAACGCCATAATGACTGGCTTTTCTTGTTCCATTCAATGTTGCACGTATTTGTTGCTGTTATAAAAAAAGTTAATGGTAAATATACCAGTAATTTTTTTATGCTTCTGTCAGTAATAATGCACATCTTATAAAACGCAAGTTATTCTAATCGCAGACATGTGCTATAGCTTGTGTAAATATTCTTTTTTCTGACCCAGGTTCTTCGCCATCTGCCATCCCATGAAGCGGCAGATCACAATTCGCGTCTGTAGAGTTATCATCGCCGTCATCTGGTCTTTCAGCTTGACCATCACGCTCCCCTGGACGTTCTTCTTTCGTCTCATGCCCATGTTAAGTGAGAGCAACTCCAGCCTCCAGGTGTGCCGCGAAGATTGGCCCACCGAGCGCATGGGAATGCTATACTTCATCGTGGCCAACCTTATACTGTGCTATCTGTTGCCATTATGCGTAATCACATTGTGCTACATCTTCATCTGGCTCAAGGTTTGGCGCAGACGACCTCCCGGCGAAGCCCACGACTTTGGTGTCGAGAATATGATACAACGCTCCAAGGTCAAGGTGGCCAAGATGCTACTCGTTGTGGTGATTGTGTTTGCCATATCTTGGCTTCCACTGTACGCCATTTTCGCCCGTCTAAAGATTGGAGAACCTCTGGTTGATGGCAGTGCTGAGCAAGCCGTCATCGAGGTCGCTGCGCCAGTGGCTCAATGGCTGGGTGCGTCAAACAGCTGCATTAATCCGATCCTGTACGCTTTCTTCAACAGCAAGTTTAGGATGGGTTTTAAAGCTATCTTGCTCAAGTGCTTTTGCCCTAAAAAGTTCAGTTCCAGGCAAGAGAGATCTTGCAAGATGTTGTCAAACACAAGGACTTCAATGACTGCTGGGCGCAGGAAGGACTCAAGAATGTCCGATGTGTTTTGAACTGAGTGCGTTGAGGTTTAGCCTTTCACTAAGAGACAGGAACGGCCCTTTTATTGAACTCTCGCTACTTTAAGTTTGTGTGAGGATGGTAGCCTTCTCTGTTCTAAAATAATAGAGGCATACCATTTAAAATTATATCGGCACTGTACATATTAATTCACTTGTCCATACACAAGCTATTTAATTTTGGCATTCCCGCTCTCAAATCTAATGTCCGTTTGTAGTGTCGACCCAAATCTGACAAGTGTAATTTTTTCGCGCGTTTCTCATTGTGTAATATAGACGAAGAAAGACGTAAAATGACTTTACTCATAGTGTGTTTTCCAAATCGTCTCGCACTATATGGGAAATGTCAGTGGTGAGTATATTGATGTCATTACACAAGCCTTAGATGTATCGTGCGTTCTACTGCTAAATCTGCGGTTCACTGGTACGGAACGTTGTTTTAAGTGACTCAATTGTTCTCAATATAAATTTTAGAGTATCGCCTTTAATGCAGTGCTCATGAAAAAACACAGCACAACTTAGGCGACGTTAATTGGATTATGAGCGCATGCTTGCGGTTTACTGTCAATTGTTGGTGCACATACTTTTGCCGTTCTTGTTGTTGTAGTCAACGTTCGATGATAAATTAACCCTGAAAATTCCACAGGCAATGTACTTGTCGTGTAGACGAAACAAAACAGGATGACCGACAAGGGCTGGACTACTAAGACAAAACTAAAAGTATTAGTCCCAAGAATGCTGTAGTCGCTCACAACGTGAAAACAGAAGGAGAAGCTTCAGTTGTCCCACCTCCAGTGCGAACGACCTTCCTTCGATAATTCTTCGGCGTCTCGTTCACCTCGAGCGCGCACGCGCATCCAAAGCACAGGGGAAGGCATGGGGCGTGTGCTAAAGGCCGGGAGTTCAATAGACACGCACTGCCGTTTTTATTCTGCCAGTGTCTAAAACGAACTTTCCCCACACAAAAATGTCCGGCCGAGACCCGAGTGCTGAGACCTATTTGTATGAGTCACATCACATGCAGTGATGACAGGAAACTCGAAAGGTTTTTACTCTGATAAGCCATTTTCTGCGGGTTGTTAAAAATATTAGAAATCACACAACGCAAATATTGCTAGGCCCGAAGCCTAAACAAATACGGTGATTTCAATAAAAATTAAACACACAGAATCGCGAGGAGGGAAACAACCTACGTGGTTTACGCAGTACCAGACATCACGTTTCCCCGCACCCGTCTACATATATTTATTTCCTCTTGTTAGCAAAACACGACACTGAAGTGGACATTTATTTGCCGGATGAAATATGTTCTTTGTTCATCTATCGTCTCATTGCAAGAAAAGTTTAAATAAAATATAAATGAACGAAGCAGAGGAAAAGCGTGTGGTTAGTCGTTCCAAGAGTGTGAAAGCTCCTTGCATAAATGGAATTAAAATGGGGTTAGAATATGGAGAGAGAGAGGATCGGTCAACGACGGATCCAGAACTCCGTTTGTTTGTTTTTCTTTTTTTTTTGGGAAGGGGAAGAGGGGGAGGGGGGTGGGCGCAAAATTTGTAAGGATGCCATTCTCCCATTCTTTCGTGTGCACCGGAGGGTCCACCCATGTCAAATTGCCCTCCTAGAAGGGGAAGAGGGGGGGGGGGGAGGGGGCGGTCGACTTTGTTGGTGGGGAGGGGGGGTAACCGCCTCCGTCGCCCCCCCCCCCCCCCCCCCCCTTGGATCCCCCCTGGGACCGGAATATACTAGTAAGAAGCGTTCAGAAATATAAAGGATCATCTTTGTCTGGTGATTGGAGTGATGTATGATAAATATTAAAAATGGAGCTGTTGCGGACTCTGCACACACATTTCCAGTCAGGTATTTACATGGTGGATGATTAAATTGTCCATTGCACATTTTCTTATATCTATGCTCTTCTACTTTTCTAGAATCCTATGAATGAAATGGAGTTCAAGGCGTGCTTGGATTGGGCCGTTCATTAACTACGGGCCAATATACGTAAACCGCAACCTGAGTGTCTCAATATAATGCCTAATCTCGAGTTCAGAAAGTATGAGGTAGGTGTTGAATGATATATAATAATTATACAAAATCACATAAACCAGTTTTGTTTTGTCTTTTTGTATCTATGTGCTTCAAACGGGCGAGTGGGAGTGGTGACATCTTGTGGTATTATCTAAGTGTCAATATAGTAACTCGGCAGATGGCACCTTGCTGATTTTCTTTTTTCTTCGCCCAAAGACGCTCGTAAGTTTTGTTATTTTGTGTTTGCTATTTTTTCGCTGCGCCAATGAAGGTTTTGATCTATAATCATTGATATGTCAATGCAATGTGGACGATATTTCTACGACCTACTATACATTTCTTTCTGTTTTGTCATTTGGCTGATATACTTCGTTTGAGCTTAAGTCCAGACGCAGCCGACGCTATAAGCTCATGAGACTAATCAGATTAGTAGAAAACGCACAATCATGGTGTTCGTCATGTTTTTCTGAGTGTTCTGTCATCGTTGAACCAATCATAAACAAAAAGGCCCAGTGACTTGCGTTTTTGAAGCTGCTTGATTGGTCCTATTAGCTCGTAGCAACGGCTGAATCTGGACTTAAGTTAAAACAAAGTATAGACGCCTCTTAGAAGTCTGACGTTTAGCGGTTAACTTTGGTAAAGTAATACGGATGCAAAAAAAATAAGAAACGAAATTTGCAATGGAATCATACGTCTCAAGGAACCAAGCAATCATATGACAATCCAAGGAGATGAATGGGCACAGCCGATCCGCAGTGCGAATTGTATGCAACATGCTGCTCATTTATAATTGTATAAGACTTTGCCATATACATTTTAGTACTCAATGAAAGTTTTTTACTATCTTTATTTAGTAACGCGTGCTCTAGACATCTCAAATTTAGGAGATATTCGCGATACAATACTCTTTATGAACAATGCAAACAATTTTTTTTTTTAGAATTGGAGAGGAGCCTATACTAAAGCATCAAAACGTCTGATAGTTTTATTTTTATCGTTATTAATTGGGACTAGATGCAGCGGCGGTGCTTCGCCCTTTAGGGGTGTCAGATTACAGTGAGATATAACAATTACGCAATAAATGACACGCAATTTACAGTGAACTCCACGGAACCAAGTTTCACACTCCATCTCTTTACTTTGATGGAAGAGAGTATGCTTGCATAAGATTCCACAAGACAAACAATGACCTTGTAATCCGGTATTAGATAATTTTAGTTGTTGATTCGATATTTTAATGAGTATAATGAATTATTCATACATTTATCTCTTGTGATATTCCACTCATCATTAAACAAATTGGTACGCAGGTATATAGGCAAGATAAGTAACACAGACTTCCGGTTACTATTTTACTGACCGTGGTAATAAGCAATTTTTTTAAACAATATTTTTTAATGTCTGGAGGAAGGGAGAAATTTATTTTAAAGAAGCGATCATGTAGTACATTTTTTAGGAGAAGATAAGGATCTGTGCAGAAAGTGATGATTTCAGTAACATTTTCCTTCAATCTTATTTCGATCGCCTCTGTAAACCCTGCCGTCAACGTTTGTCAAATACTTCTTTAAAGAGGACAGAAATAAAACGCGAAGAACGGGAGCAAACAGGAGTCGATTGTTTTTCGCTGCTATTTTAGACACTTATTTGTTTATTTAAACGAATCGTAAAAAGCACTACATGGAAAATTGGGAGGCAGTGGTATATCAAACAAGGGATTATAACCTGCTGCGCAAAGCAGCCCTTAAAGCAAGATCAAAGTTAATGCTAACGCTCTTGAACCAATTGACTTTCAAATTAGGTTGACCTTTCCATCTACTTGCAGCTTTTTCTGTCCTTTGATTCGTATTTACACTTCTATTGTTTTTCTAAACGATTTAGGACTTTGGTCTGTTTTTTTTTATAAATTATACTAAAATAAGTTTGACAGTCGCACTATCTGCTTTAGATGATGAAGTGTGCTGGGCCGTCTTTTTCCAGGAAGTGCTTCCTTTCTTGTTTGAAGTTTATTTGCATAATGCATTTGGCACAAACGCCTTCAGGGAAACTTGCCGTACGAGCTAACAGAGACGGCGCCTGACCAGTACAATCCTTGCAATATGCCGTGCTAAGTTCGTTTCACCGTAGGTTCAAGCGAAGCGGGAGCCACGAGGGCCTGCACACTGACTTGCGACGTACGATCGCGTGCGCACGGCAGACTACCTCAAGTCGTGGAGCGTGCTCTCGCAAATTCTGCGCCTCTTGTAGCTTTTGCTTCGTAGAAGCGTGTACAGAAACATATCATGGCGTATCTTTGTTCTTTCACGTGACCAAGAATATAAATGTACTGAACGTTTGTAACAGTCCTTAAACCTCTCAGCGTCCCTTGACCCAAGACTAAGCTTTAAAACTTTAAGCTCTGTGGATCATTACGTGTATGTGTCTGTTTACGATGATTATGCAATAATGAGGATGGTTGTGTGGTAGATGTCATTAAGTGTGATGAAATACAATACCGTCTGTACAGTTAATATGATTATTTGGTGGCTATATTGTAAACACATCTAATTCTCCGCCTGTGTAACTTGCATGGAGGTAAGCAGCTACTGAAGGCGACATGACGCCACCAGAGGTGAAGCTGGGGGAGACCACGTTTGGAGGGACTCGCCCCCAACGATGACAAAAAAACGAGCAAAACCAAAGCAAGCTATTTGACGGAAAGGACACCCTTGGGCACCCTTGGGAGGTTCTCACCGACCGGGACTTCTACTTCGGGCTTCACTTGGGATTTGTTCATTTGGCTGTGTTGAGCCGGTATGTCGCCTCCTCCTCTTCCTACCTTCACGTGTAACTTGTTATTTCGCAAAAAAGCAGTTGCCACTGAACATGAAGGATTTGTATCTTTCATGAAAATTATGTGTCTACAAACTCCTTGCTTATAAAATGTACCAGCTTTTAATAGCTTTGGATTTTTCTTATCCGGTGGCAATCCT